CATTTTGATTTTGATTTTGATTTTAGTGGGTGTGCACTCCCGCACACAGCTCTGTGCATGCACTGCAGGTACACACGCCATTTAGTCCCGTCCCGCTTGCCATCCATGAAGGAGTGAGACTGTGGATTCCAAGTCTGCAGATGGTGAGGGATGAGTGGACTGTATTTTAAGTAATACACATGCACACACGCACACAACATACACACACATTATGTATACCATCCCCTGGTGAAAGACAAGAGTTTAATCTGCCCTGGATGGACTGACCCCCTTCTAATCTCTCATCCATCCAACTTTAGTATGAGCACAAATTAAGTTCTTTGGCATTGTTTTCCTTTGCTTCATCCTTGACATCCTTCATTACGTACCCCTAAGTTTTACCCTCGATTTATCCACAGGTCATATCAAAATCCATAATTTTGGCCGCAAAACCTGCCCTCAACTTTTACATGAGGTCGAGTACATATGGTACTTAGTTCAGTATATAGTGGTATAGAAATGTAAATGTTAAATGCTAAACTCTTATGAAAGTAAATTCACACTTGAAACATTTCTTGCTTGGTGTTTTACATCTATCAGATGATACACAATCAGATAGCAGTACTCAGTAGGATTTGCTAAAAACAAAGGATAGTATCAAGAAAACAGGGGGAAGCAATTATGCTCTTTCTGCTCCAGGGTTTAAATTAACAGTTTTCGATTAATGAATAAATGAGAAATAATGTATTTAAATGTGGAAACCATGTCCTCCAATGTTTCACAGGTAAAAAAAAGAATATGTGTGACCAAGCAACATCAGAGTGAGATTACGATGGCAAGTGTTATTAATGAGGAAGAACACACGAGCTACAAGAGGCTACAGCACAGTTTGCTTTTGCCTGAGCCTTCTGGAAAAGGCAAGATTCTTCTGCTTCCCCTCCTCTCCCCCTGCTGAGTTACTTTGAAGACCATTTGCAATAACTTAAGTGAGCTAGGACAAAGCTGGGGGGGAATGCGAGAAGGAGAAAGAAACTGGGATATTTTTAAAACAGCTGAAAAAATGGGACAGATGATTAATCAGGGTTGTCCCTGCCAAATCAGAACAACTGGAGCATATGAGAACCTCTAGACAACCTTGTCAAGGGAAAACCTTTATCTTTACTAGTTAACAAACAGAAGAGAGTAAAGGCACTTTATTCTGTGATCTCAGTCTTGATTCCAAAATTCTGCACACACAGAAGGATCTTCTTTTTACAACCGTTCTGACACATACTCTCAAATTGTTTGCAGCTTGTCATTCAAACACACACGGAGAGACACACAGATAAAATATGTTCCTGTTTAGAAATTAAGACAGACAGGGCCAGTTGCCAAATCTAGAAGAAATAATGGGTATTCCTTTTCAGTTACTTAGGGAGATGGGATAAAGAACATTTAGTCTATTTTACTTTCTTCTATTCATAAGATGGATTCAGAGCAGAGGGTGAGCCCTGTCATCACAATGACTGGGAGGGAAGGAGAAAGCTAAATATTTAAATCCATAAACCCCTGGAGAATCTTTAGAAGTTGCAGCAATAAATCAAATAAAGGGTGTAAAAATGGGGAGAAATAGTTAAACCAACAATTTAAGATATGCAGATGACACCCTATTACTAGCTGAAAATAGAAGTGTTTCAGAATTACTGATGAAAGTTAAGAAACAAAGCCCCAAAGTATAATTAAAATGAATGTAAAGAAAACTAAAATAATGACCACAGATTATTTACATAACTTGAAAGTGGATCATGAAGATGTTGAAATAAAAATTTCCTATGTCTTGGATCAGTGATAAATCTAACTGGAGGCTGTCATCTAGAAAGCAGAAGATGAGTTAAAACTGACAAATATAAAATAACTACAAAATAAGATCCTGGAGTATAAAGATATATCATTAAAGAACAAAGTGAGAATCGTCCATGCCATATTACTTCTAGTTTTTGTGTTGGTTATGAACTCTGCAGAGTGAAGAAAATGAACCCATTTGAAATGTCTTACTGGAAGAAACGTCTCCAGATTCCATGGACCTGAACTATTATTCAAACAAATAGCTAGCACATGTAGGGGGTTTCTGCGCTCCTTTGGTGCAGTGTGTCTGTGCCATGGGGCACACGGCATGGCAGCAGCATCGGGAAGGAGTTGGGGCACTGGTGTGCAGTTACCATGCCCTGACTCCACTCCCAGGGCCGGCCCTTTTGGACGATCTGTATTCCCCCTAGGTTGTACTAATGTTGGATTTATCACACTGTGTTAAAAGAGAGCAACATTATGTTTTCAACTGGTACAAAAATTCTAGGTGCCCCCAACGCTTACAAAACTTGTATTTGATTGAAAAACGGGTCATTGAAAACATAACTTCCAATTGCTATTTTTTATCTGCTGTAAGCAAGTTTTAGAGGGATGCGGTGGCTTGGTGATTAAGATGCTAATTCTGATGATTGGAAGATTGGAAGGTTGGCAGTTCGAGGCCCAAGTGCTGCATGATGGGGTGAGCTCCTGTCACTAGTCCCAGCTTCTGCCAACCCAGATGTTTGAAAGCATGCAAATGCAAGTAGATAGACAGGAACCACTTTTCAGTGGGAAGGTAACAGTGTTAGGTGCAGTCATGATGGCCACATGACCACCAAAGCAGTCCTCAGACAACGCTGGCTCTTCGTCTTAGAAACAGAGATGAGCACCACTCCCTACAGTTAGTTACAACTAGACATTCGTGTCAAGGGACTACCCTTACTTTACCTTTAAGCTAGTTTTTAAAATTCATGCCAAAATGTTCTTGACCACACATGTTTATTTCACAGCTACCCTAGGCTGTCATAAGGGTCACAAAATGTTGAACCAGTGTAGAACTCTGTCTATTCAGTTTGTACAAGAAACTTTTCAGAAGCAATAGCTATTCTGAAATGACATTATAGCTATTTTGTAACCTTTAGACCTCTCAGTATATGTTAAAAATATTTTCTTTCTCGCTTTAAACACAAGGTGTATTTATATTACATATACACAAACGCAGAAAGACTGGCTTAGATGACCATTTCATGCAACTGATGAAGTGGGTTCTGGCAGTTTTGTCACAATGTGCTAGTCTTTTAGATGCCACCAGAATTACTACTGTTATTTTCGAGACAACAAACTAACACATCTTATTTCTCTATGCAATGTATTTCCAGAGAAAACTCTTATGAAATAAATGGGCTCACCACAAATTGATAGGTGTCTTGAAACCACATACACACAGAGAGAGAGAAGTTGTGGCCACCTTTTGGATCATAAAGTTTTTGGGTAACTAAGGCTTCTAGATTTGACTATGGACCTACAACATGGATATATTCATTCTGGGATAAGTTATTGAAACTGTACAACACAGAAAGGGCAACTGAACTGCCTAGCAATAGCAGCTTCATTTATATACTGCTTCATACTGCCACCCTCATTGTGAAAATTTGTTCCTCTAACACGGTATTTGACACAATACACATTGACTAGGGTGTAGAGATTTAAGATTCAAATACAAAAGTAATCAATTGTATATAATAATACACTATTCATAAAGGAAGACATCTTAATAAAGATTTTATTTAAAATAACAATTCTATACTTTCATATAAATACCAATTGTAAGAGCAGAAGCTATCAGTCAATCAAAATATTGATACCAAAAGTTAAATTAGAATGAATTACTATAGTTCTGCTGTTCAGTTTCCAATTTGCTTGGGAGTCCCAGTGTACAAATGAACAGGCATGAACTGTGAATTGCAGCTGTTACATTTCACTTGATACAGTGAAATACATAGCTTTACTCAAGTGACCTCTCAACCCCCATCCTCTGCCCAAGCAATACAGATGCAAATTACAATGGCTTTTCCAAACTACTTGGAATCCATCCTGTCCTTATGCTGTACTTCAATTCCTAATACACACTTAACCTTCACTTGACCCTGTTAATACCACTAGGTATAGCTGCATTTAGCAACAGAAGGGCAAACAACATTTATCTGTCAAAAACGAAACCAAACATGTCATGGGAATGAGAAATGCGTACATTTTGCATGGCAAACAACAAATTAGGTATCCTTATGTAGAAAACATCTATAGTCCATGTACAAAGGCAGGATGACATTGGAGATTCCATTACTAGTCTCTAGAGCCTTGCTAAAAACATTTGTCTGGTAAATGAATCAGGCTGAGAGGGTTTCCCCCCTTTTGTTTAAGTCATATGCTGTTCTAAAAAATAAGTAGTGTTCTTATTACTGCATCTCTGCACCACACTAGCCATGAGTGTTTTTAATTTGGCATTGACATACAGACAAACTGCACATGGTTCCTTTCCAAGCATTAATACTCTCCGTGGAATGACTTTTGGGAGATGTCCTCTTTCCCATATCTACACACGTTCATTTGAAGTTCTGAACAAAGCTTCCATATGAGCACCCGGGTTTCGCCCTACTGTTCTAATTGACTACAAGGAGGAATTTTCAATGAACCACTGATTCTTGTGACATCAACACCAGAAACTGCAGTTACTGTTAACTAACAGCTATCCAAATTAGTAAGGATAATAAAATAGGTTTTAAAGTTGGGTTGTTTGGAGAAACAAGTTAAATTTAACACCAGTTTGTCCCCATTTAACAAACAGTAGTTTGCTGAAAATAGACATAAGTGCTTCTAATTGCCTCCTTGTGGCTATACAAATTGGAGGAAAAATTAGAGGAAAATTGGAGGAAGGAACATCAACAATTTAAGATATGCAGATGACATCATGTTACTATCACAAAATAGCTAAAACCTGGAACAGTTACTGAAGAAAGTCAAGGATAAAAGTGCAAGTTGTTGTTTGTTGTGCGCCCTCAAGTCCTTTCCGACTTATGGCGACCCAAAGGCAAATCTATCATGCAGTTTCCTTAGCAAGATTTGGTCAGGAGGTTTGCCATTACCTTCTCCTGAGGCTGAGAGCATGTGACTTGCCAAGGTTACCCACTGGGTTTCTTGGCCAAGCTGGGAATCAAACCCTGGTCTTCAGAGTCATAGTCCAACACTCAACCCATTACGCTATGGCAGGTTTAATTCTGAACTTTGAGAAAACAAAAATAATGACCATGGATGATTTATGTACCATCACGTAGACAACAAAGAAACTGAAATAATTAAAGATTTTCTATACCTTGGATCAGTCATTACTCAGAATGGAGATTACAGTCAAGAAATTAGAAGTAGACTAGAACTTGGAACGGTAGCTATGGCAGAACTAGACAAGATCTTGAAGTGCAAAGATATTTTACTGAATACTAAAGATAGGATTGCACATGCCATTGTATTTTCCATCACTATATATGGATGTGAAAGTTGGATGGTGAAGACATCTGATAGGCGGACAATCAACTCATCTGAGGTGTGGTGCTGGAGGAGAGTTCTACGGATACCATTGATTGCTAAAAAGACAAATACATCGGTCTTAGAACAAATCAAGCCTAAACTTTCACTAGAAGCCAAAATGACTAAATTGAGTCTGTCGTACTTTGGCCATATCTTGAGAAGACATGACTCACTAGAACAGACTATAATGGTAAGAAACGTAGACAGCAGCAGAAAAACATGGCTATCAAGGACAAGGAGTCTTGGAGATGTCATTCATAAAATCAACATAAATCAAAGTCAGCTTGAAGGCAATTAACACACACAGGGAGATGCCTTGTATTACAACCTCAGCTTATTAATTCTTCCAAGAATGTGGGTTTAGAACAAGCCTCTAACTTTATTCTCCATATTTCTATCTCTTCTGTTGCAAGGTACCAATTTACCAAGTAGAGTCCAGCTTCCTTCCTCTTTGGGCCACTGAGGCAGCTAACAAATGGAGAGTACTGCTCATCTGAGCTTTGTTCTACTACAGCACAATCTCAGCATGATGTGATAGCAAGAGAGATACTATCCAGCTACCAGGAAGCAGGGATCATGGATCTGTTGAAATATTGAGTCTGGTCTGTCTCCTCAGTTTGAGCAGCTTGTCTCTTACCATTCTCTCAGACATTCTCCCAGCTAACTTAGCTGCTCAACTGTCTGCCTCCCTACAGGCCACCAGCATCCAACAGACTCTGGCAACTCCAAGTCCCAACTCTTGGCCTGAAGGGGATGATTATTGGGAGGTAGTCCAGCTGGTCCCATTTCACCGATCACAGTGTCACAATAGTTGAACCCTTCTTTGACAAGCAGCTATTAAGAAACTCAAGGACTCTTTTTTTGATGCCAGAATTTGGCAGCTCCAACCAATGCCAAATTGGCAGCTCCCAACATACATCCTGCTCTATATTTCCTGACAAGCAGTTTGAAGATCATCCACTTATGTCTCGTAACCTTTTCAAAGTTCAGGGTTAATCTGACAGGAACATAGAACAAAGTGACTGACATCATGAAGGGGCATTTGGTTGACTTGTCAGTTTGCATTTCCAGTATTCGTATCCCTTGAGGTAATAGTGTACTGATGAGTAAATTGGCTGTGACAAAAATGCGTGTCATGGGTCTCCACAGTGTGTGTGTATGTGTGTGTGTATTCTGAGATAGCATCAGCATACCAATGCAAATAGTGGTAAACTGCTGTTCTGCAAAATACATTAGTGGTCTCCTTCCAGTTCTAGTTGGCATATGCCCATTTTTGCACACGAGAAGAATTACCTCACCTGGCAACCATTTGCTGGCTGCCCCTGAAGAAGAAATGCCATGGCATTATCCAGGATAGACTCCTGCTAACAGTTGGCAATAAGAAAAGTTTAGTCTCCCCTACACACACACACACACACACACACACACACACACACAATCAGAGTACTGTACATTAAGTTATTAAAATCGCTAAATATACTACTAGAATGAAAAAACTCACACATATGCTCATGGACACATATATGCATCCATGAGTGTGTCCAGAGAGTATCCAAAGGAGGGTGACCAAAATGGTGAAGGGTCTGGAAACCATGCCCTATGAGGAGAGACGTAGGGGGGTTGCAGACTGCCAGAAATAGTGCAAATTGAGTCCACTTTTAGGGTTAGGGTTGGTGCTAGGGAATTATGGGGATTGTTTTTTTTTCTGAGACATTGAGCCTTCTCTGTCAGAGAGCTCTGGTGCCACAATAAAATACAGTTCCCAAGATTCCCTAACCCTAACCCTAACCCTAAAAGTGGACTCAATTTGCACTATTTCTGGCAGTCTGCAACCCCCCTTAGAGAGCAAGGTATGTTTAGCCTGGAGAAGAGAAGATTAAGAAGTGATATGATAGCCCTGTTTAAATATTTGAAGGGATGTCATATTGAGGAGGGAACAAACTTGTTTTCTGCTCCTCCAGAGAACAGGACTCGGAACAATGGATGCAAAGAGATTCCACCTAAACATTTGGAGGAACTTCCTGAGAGGAAGAGCTGTTTGACAGTGGAACAAACTCCCTTGGAGTGTGTTAGAGCCTTCTTCTTTGAAGGTTTTTAAACAGAGGCTGGATTGTCATTTATCGGGGGTGTTTTGATTGTGAGTTCCTGCATGGCAGAGGGTTGGATTGGATGGCCCTTGGTGTCTCTTCAACTCTATGATTCTATATGTGGGGCTTAATGTGAGCTTTTCTTTTTTTTTTTTAAATATATAACCAGATATATTGGTCTAAACACAATTATGTCATTATGGATCTGAAAGTACTGTTGTACAAGAAACTACATATTTTGGAAAGTCATGCAAGGATGGCATCCATAGCCTCACTGTGTAAGCAATTTTTGCATGTCTGTATTTGCACAGTAGAAATGACCACTTGCAAAATGGCATGATTCAGAGTATCTATGCTGGCTAGGATTTTCATTCCACCCACTTTAAATTGGATGTGGCCTATTGTCTAATTTTCCATGAAGCAAAGGAAGATAGCATACTGGCATAAATTTGAAAGCACAGACAAGCAACCTTGCACATAGTCTAGCTAGACTTCAGGAAATATTGGACAATGTGAAAAATATTGGACTAGTTCCCTTCCTTTAGTCCTCTGCATTGCCAAAAACCTGCTTCAAAGGGTTTCCCAGCCTTCTGGAGTGGATTTTGAAGGTACACAGCATGTTGAGATGCTGGTGGTGGGGACGAATCACCTCATCCTGTCTTGCTGGTGGAACAAGTGTCTTTCTAAAGATCAGTTTCTAATTTAAATGGTTAACAGAATTTCATTTTAACCACTGTAACACCCAATAATTAATTGTTTGGCATTGGTCCAACAGCTGGGGAGGAAACGAGACTGACTTAATATATATTAGATGGGTCCAGTGTGTGTATTATTATGCCCATTAAACACACTAAATTCCATTTTCCCTTAATTTAAATGCCGCACAGTCTAGCTACTTTCTGTTAGCTGCCATAATGGCACACCCTGCCTTCAGGAAATATTGGAGAATGTTAGTGTGACAGGGCAATTCTTCCCTTCTTCCTTCATTCTTCTACATTGCTGAAAACCTGCTCTAAACATTTCTCAGTCTTCTGGAGTAGACTGTGAAGCTGCATAGGGGGTTATGCTGGTGGTGGTGGTGGTGAGGAATCAGTTCCGCTGATGGGTGCAATTTCCCCAGAAGAACAACCTTACGGGATCCCACTCAATATCAGTTAGATATCATGTGTGACACCCAGGCTTCTTTCCTTTCTTTAGGAATCCTAAGTATACTTCTTCACAAATACATGAAGATGACATGGAAGCTGTCATACCTGCCATAGGTAGGTATGATCAAATTCCTACAATAAACCCACAATGACTCCCTCAGAACAGGAACTTCAGATATTCACAATTGCAAATATGTGTGCACACTGAGAAACCTTAGCTTTATGAGACAAACACCTGTTCCTGAAACTTTGGGAAGAACAACACAAAAGCAGCCTATAAAGATAAGAATCTAACTTGCCTAGGGGGGAAAATCCTTACATGTATTTTGAATTTTTAGAAGGCTTTTAGAACAATGATCCACACACTGAAGGAGTGCACAATCTACAGAAATAATTACTCACAGCAGTGATTGCATCTTCATCTCCTGTCTGCAAATTACAAAGATTCACCCTCTGAGAAGTTGCTTAGGAGATATATATATATATATATATATATATATATATATATATATTCTTAGGCAACTTCCCAGAGGGTGAATCTTTATAATTTACAATCAGGAGATGAAATTATATATGGTACATGTTTGTTGCATAACCACAAGTATGTCACTAATTTCAAAATAGCTGAGAACATGTTCAAGCATTTTAAAATCATATTATCTTTATGACTTGTATGTGGTTTCTTGGTTTCCAAGAAATCAAGGCAGGCTGTGCAATTATAGCAGCTAACAGAAAATAGCTGGAATCCATGCTAATTTGCTCATCTGGCTTAGTTTCTTGATGACCAACACTTCTTTTCCATCTGAGGGATAAAGCTATGATTGGACTTTAGTTCCATCACTAATTCCCAGGAACTGTCAAGTAATAGTGATTCACCATGCCCTGTAATCCCTGTTTCTTCAGAACTGTAGCACAGTGGCTGCAGAGCAGCTATAACATTATCTGCAGTCTTTCTCCAAACAACGGACATCTTTTTTAAAATACAGTAAATATCTGGGTCAAACTTTTAGAATGCCTGTTCTGATTCTGACAGGCCCACACATTTCTCTAGAATAAATGCTATGAAACTAAAAACACAGTGCTCATCATAACTGTTCAAACCTAACAAGATCCCATCTTCATAATATCTTCTCCAACTCTTCAAATGGCAAAATAGTTTTCATTCTGTTATTCTCATATGCCTGGCATGAAAGGGACCATCACTTTTAAGATTACTATCCATTCTCAAGTAATTTCCTATTAGATTTTGATCCCACCACCAAGGCTGCATCTGCACTGCAGAAATAATGCATTTTGATACTGCTTTAACTGCCGTGGCTCAATGCTATGGAATTCTGGGATTTGTAATTTGTGAGATATTTAGCCTTCTCTGTCAGAGAGCTCTGGTGCCACAACAAATTAAAAAATCCCAGAAATCCATAGCATGAAGCACAGCAGTTAAAGCACTC